CTTCGTCGGAAGGATAATTTCCCTCCTCCTACTACCCCCCCTCGCTCACGTCCCCCGGGAGTGAGAGGCACCATGGAGTAGCCCTCGTCTGGGAGGAGTATTGTGGCAGTAATCCCTCGCCTGGAGAATTATAATTGTTCACTTCTAAATATAGAGGAAGATAATGACCTAGATGTGCTTCAACCACCCATTAACCTAACCTAGCCTAACCTAACCTAAATTGACTGCATATTGATGGGGAATAGGTGTGTTTCTTGTGATGAGTAAACGACCTAAACACACTTAAAATAACCAAATCCCACCCACATACTGTCAGCCTCAACCTCAGTGCTTGTTTGATCTGTCCATGTACAAAGACTTGAATATGTTTAATTCCAACCAGCCACACGTGATGAGCGGTGTGTGTGTGTGTGGAGGGAGGACTATTCAAGGTATGTGTGGTTCCAGTAGAGGACAGAGAAGGATGTGAAGGACTGAGGGAACATCATCACATAACTCGTTTGATCCTGAATTCTCTCCTCACTGTGTCGATGAAACTCTCAAAGGCGAATGATATAAACTGGAACACAATCATGCCAGTATTGTACGACTCGTGAATCGTGAATCATCCGACGTGCCTTCTAAGCGATCACTGGTTAGAATGCACTGTAGCGCCAAACTCTTGAAACAATACAACTAACTGATGAGAAAAGCTAAAAAAAAATCCTCAGAAATTATAACAATGGGATACAAAAGTGAAAATAAGTAAAGTATAATTACAATTGAAAAAAATATTACCCGGTTTATCACTGTCTTCCTTCATCGACTATGTGTAAAGTTTGAAACACTTGACTTTGGCCGGAGATTGAGGAGGGACTATGGCGAAGTCAAAACTTGTAAAGAAATAGCATTAAAAGCTTCCCAACAGCAGCCGTTCCCTTGATATATCGTTGGTTATGACCCACAGCCGGAGTACAGCAGTTTCAAACAACTCCTGGCTAGATTTGTGGCGTTGTTCATCACTAACTCAGCACCACACTTGGTCTTAATGGACTCGGCCTCGATAGTCGTCACAGATCTAAATGTTAAGCTTCGTTAACTAAGTGGATTAAATCATGCACTAAAACTCCTCGTTAAGTAGAGTCTTTGTTCAGTTTGGATGCCATTGTTCAGCTCGTTATGGAAACCAGTTAAAAATTTTATAAAATTCTCCCTTTTTGAGATAAATCTGATGAATGAATCTTTGAGAATAAGAAAATTTGTAAGAGTGTGTGACGCAACCGTTGTCTGCCTCCTCCCACACCCCAAAAGTGTGTGTGTGTGTGTGTGTTAAGACAGCCTGACCAGTGTTGAGTTTAGCAAAGCCTTGGACACACACATGAACGTGGGAGGGTCGTCGAGAGAGAGAGTCTAGTGAGGCTGTAGGAAGGGAGGAGAGAAAGAGACCACAGCAGAGAATGGTGGGAGTGAGATGGACGGTCCAGAAGAGATTTAGGTTGTGGGTGGGAGTATAATGAGGGTGTGGGAGTGAGGTAGAGAGATCTACACAAAGGTCACGTCGCCTCCAGATAGACACAGAGAGATGCTCCTCTATTGAGACTCTAGCTTACATCAGCTCTTTTGTTAAGGATGAAATGATACTTTTATTGAGTAACGAAAATAATAATAATAATCCATAATATCTTTGATCAATTTCCTCCATTTAAAAACCAATGAACTAAAATTTGTAAGGATCCGTATCTTCAACATGTTACCTGTGCCCTTAAAGAACCACACCTGCCGGAGGAGGAAGAGAATTATTGCTATAAAACCAAACCAAAACAAAAACACTATTCAAAAAAAAAAAAAAATTGACAAAAACAGTAATTGACATTTATAACTTTTCCAGCCTGGGCAAAAAATACACCACGTCAATAACAATCAGAAGCCAGACACTGACCAAAATACTGAAGCACCAGATGACGTATAGTATAGATTGACCTCTGACGTTAGCTAAAATACTGATATCAATCCAACTATACATACATACATACATACATACATACATACATACATACATACATACATACATACATTCATACATACATACATACATACATTCATACATACATACATACATACATCGACACTTGGTATGACATAAACAATAATTATGTAAAATATGTGATTATAGAGTAGATACGGTGTGGGTAAGGTGTGGGTAAGGGGGTTGAGGGTGTGGGTAGGATGTGGGTAAGGTATGGGTAGAATTGTAAGGATGATATAGATAAGAAGATGGATAAGAAATTGTGAAGGATGAAACAGGGCGGAATGTGGGTGGAACTGTGAGGATGGTGTGGGCGGTGATGTGGGTGGGAGTGGGGAGTCTGATAGTGACACGCCCTCCACCCAATTTGTGTCATTCTCCAGGTTTAATGAAGGTTCAGACTTGGACGGAATATTTCATCTTAGTATTTTTTTTTTTTTTTTGTCATTTTTGTTTTCTTCAAGATTTTGTAGTTTGGAAAATAAACATCTTTCTTGGGTGTTTATTGTTATTATTATTATTATTATTATTAGTAGTAGTAGTAGTAGTAGTAGTAGTAGTAGAAGTAATAGTAGTAGTATAGTATAAGCCGACAACAGTTGCAGATATTGACTATGAGGCAACAGTCACTGAATGCCGCATAGATCTGCGGCTCGACTAACTCAACACAGTTAGGATAGCTACTTATGTGTTAGGATATTTAATATTAAGGTAATTAAATGGTGACGAAGGTCTGGCTATTGGGGAAGGCTGGAGGCCACGTTAGTAGTAGTAATAGTAGTAGTAGTAGTAGTAATAGTAGTAGTAGTAGTAACAGTAGTAGTAGGTAAATAAATGGTGACGAAGGTCTGGCTATTGGGGAAGGCTGGAGGCCACGTTAGTAGTAATAGTAGTAGTAGTAGTAATAGTAGTAGTAGTAGTAATAGTAGCAGTGTTATTATTTTTTTAAACATCTGCATTTTTTTCATCTATCTATATATAATTCATCCATTATTTACCTTCCACTTTCATATTTCGTTAATTACCATAGCAGTTTTCAGTGTGGATAATGTTACCCTCATCTGTAAGGTCAACACACACACACACACACACACACACACACACACAACACGCCCTGCTACCGACACCTTGTTTAGGTTTCTTGCCAAATTATTCAGATTAGTTCATGAATAGAGATAAGGGAGCAACGGGGGTGTGGGCCTCATTACGGAAAGGGGGAAGGGAGAATGCAGGGAGGGTAGGAGGGTGAGGAAGAGGGAGAGGGTGAGAGAGAGAGAGAGAGAGAGGTGGGGTATTATGAAGAGAGGGTGTGTGTGTGTGTGTGTGTGTGACCTATCTCTACCATCAGCAACATGAGTCTTGCCGATGGTCAACTTCGAGGAAAAAGTCATTCAGTGTGTCCTCACCTACGGGGGGATACTGCTGTTCCTGATGTACTGAGAAATAATTTGCATATATTCATGACAGTAAAAGAATTATACCCCACACACACACACACACACACACACACACACACACACACACACTAATATTCCTCCCTCCCCATAAAACTACAGTTGTTGAGTGTGGCTGGATTACGAGTGGCATGAAGAGTAGTGATATTATCTGAGGAGTTGATCCATGAAGCGGATCTCATTATGGTATGACTATTAATAGATCCTGTCTGTGTGTAAGGCGAGGAGGATGGAGTCTTGTGGGATCATTACTTCCAGATTATGGGAAATTTTAAGTATGGTGTTTATTATACATATACGTTCTTTGAATTTGACGTGCTTGAAGTTCAAATGAAAGTGTAAGGATCAGTAGCAGTAACAGTAGCAGTACCAGTAGCAGTAGGAGTAACAGTAGCAGTAACAGTAGGAGTAGCAATAACAGTAGCAGTAACAGTACCAGCCACAATACCAGTAACAGTAGGAGTAACAGGAGCTATAAGAGTAACAGCACCAGTGCCAAATATCAGGTGCCTCCAGTGCCAGGTGACGGCTGGTGACAATAATGGTTATTCTCGTCAGCTCTAACTCTTACCAAAACCAAGACAATATACCCCACAAGATATCACATTTCGTTGACTCTCCCTAATACACTTTTTTTCCATACTTTGATAGTGAAACATATACCAACATCAAAGGAAGGAAAGAAAGGTTTTTTTCTTGTCGTAGTCTTTTATTGAACATCAATCAGTTAATGGTGTTTGGGGGGTGGGGTAAGCTGAGGACGACACAGACACACACACACACACACACACACACAGTTCGATAACAGATATTTACTCCGGTGAGACCACAATACCACCAGACGAAGCCTTAACAACCATCACCACCTTACAAGACATTCTCATTAGGGGTGATATTACTAAGCATCAAAGTGTACTCCTAACTCTTATACTGATTGTGGGTTAACACTATATCCTTCAGACAGAGGGACATGACTCAGCTGTTTGTACGTGACGTCAATACGGTTCATTAATATATCTCAGATTCCCGGAGATGAGAGTTGAGTTCGCATTCTCAGAAAAAAAAAATCTTAAGTTATAATTTTTGTTCTCTCCCACGAGGACAATATAAGAATACATTTGTGTACAGTAGTGTCCGTGTCTGTCTTAGTAGCTATTTATACAACTATATTATAAGTGATCTGGTCAACCGTATATTGAGAGTGAGGGAGTGTATGAGGAGTGTATGAGGAGTGTATGGGGAGTGTATGTGGGAGTGTATGTGGGAGTGTATGGGGAGTGTATGTGGGAGTGTATGGGGAGTGTATGAGGAGTGTATGAGGAGTGTATGGGGAGTGTATGTGGGAGTGTATGTGGGAGTGTATGAGGAGTGTATGGGGAGTGTATGAGGTGTATGAGACAAACGGTGAAAGACACAGTCAGTAAGGTAAAGTGACATTGTGGAACAGAGACAGTGAGAGACAGAGACAGTGAGGGAGGGACAGAGAGTGACAGTGAGGGACGGGGAGGAGTGACGTACTAGTAACCGGGTGTCCCCTACAGGTGGGTCGGCAGTTCTGGAGGAGGAGGAGGATCACCAGCTGAGGAAAAGGTTTATCTGGACGCTGACTCAGGAACCTTATTTCTACGGTACGTGTGTGTGTCTTACTCCTTACTCTCTTCTTGGTCTTTCTCTCCATATCTTCCCTTTTCTCTTCTTTTTTATTGTCTCTTTTATGTCTCTTCTCTCTCATTTGCTTCATTTGTTAGACCATAGAGGGAGGTAAACAACTCCTCTTAGACGTAATTGATCCAACTTTTCCATCAACTAATCTGACCACATTGAACTCACCCTAGCGGAGCCTTTCCTAACTAACCAAAATTTAATCCAATTTTAATCACAGGAAGTAATTCTTTATAGGTCAGTAGATAGAGCGATTTGGATTTTTTTCCCCACGTTGGTAGTTTATTTTAAATACCTCAGTCTTGTTTATTAATGCGTGGAGGTTTCTTCGTTATATTTAAAGGTTGTTGAGTGAGTTTGCATCTTGACTACTTATTTACAAGGTTTTACAAGGAGTGAGTGCTACATTTACAGAATATTACTCCTATGACTATCACCAAGTAGAATTTAAACGAAATTTAGTCTAAAAAAATTACTAAAGAAACTATGGATGTGCTAGATGCATAATTGTGATAAATTTACACATGCATATAATTACCTTAAATACTACATAAAACTATTTATATGTAATTGTGTCGTTATTATAATTAAGGATAATGGCGGCGTTTCTTCCGTAGTGTAAACAATAACATAATAACATGTAATTACAGAGATAAAAGGGATATTAAGGTTATAACACAAGAAGTGAATCTCTTAAATATAGTTTTATTATATTCATTATCGGTGATTAAGGTGAAGAGGAGGATAAGTCACCATAGTAGTTTTAAACAACCCTTTCCGTCGACGGGGATCTTCGTGTTGACAACCAGAGTTTTTATAAATTTAACTCGTGAAAGACACCGCCCTACAGTGCTCGACGGGGAGGTGTGGCGGTAAAATGAATTAATATAGTATCATGAACAAAACACAACTACAGAAAAAAGTAAAAAAAAACGTTATATTTTTACCTTATCCTCAACGTATATAAAATTAAGTATGAAATATAATCAACAATATACTTTGGGATCATTAAACTCAAATTTCATGACATTTCTCTGGGTGTTATCGCTCCTCTACACTACCTTGATCTAATCTATGCATAGTTAACCCTCGCAGTATGATCATGTGACCCAGTGCATACCATGTGCGTGTGGGTGATGTTGTTGGGGTGGGAGCTAAGGAGGGCAGTGTGGGGTCAGCTGTACAGTACCAATTATCTACTCGTAAAGTGTCACATATCCCTGGGAATATTGATTACTGTCATCACACCTCAAGCTATAACGTCTGTACGGCTCACTGTAAGATTGTTCTTTAACTGAGCCTCTATTGGAGTTAAATGCTAATGGTCACTTCACCTTATCTGGCAACAGTACTCGGGATGAAGCGAGAGATGGTATTTTCACGCTACATTTCTATTAAGTTGTTGTTTAACATATAATTAAGGTAAGTTCCCACGAGAGTTGTAATTTAACGAGCTCATAAATCAGAGAGGAGTGGTGCAACATGAACCATTTCCTCGGTACTTGACGAAAGAGTGTTAATAAGTAAAGGGGGTGGGGAGACAACTGGTGACTCGTACAAAGACCAAAATAAGAAATTAACTTTTTATTGAGTTTCTCGACGGACAAACAGCCTAAACTTCTCAACAGATTTAATCATTGTTTATAACTCATTCATGTAGGATGAATAATAAATATATCGTCACAACCTCTGACTCGTACAACTTAACGCCAAGTTGTAATATTAAGAATACTGATGGAATATTATTGGAACTAATTCTAGAACTAATTCCCAAACTTTCATTAATTCTTTGTTTATACAGTATCCGTAATTCTTGGTGGGCAGGATTCATTTGGTGAATATATTTGACAATGACGCTTGACTGATTTCTTCCAGCGCTTTTTATTTGCTTAAGAAAACAACATCAGCGATATAGCAATGGACCAAGAGGTGTGTGTATGTGTGTGTGTATGTGTGTGTGTGTGTGTGTGTGTGTGTGTGTGTGTGTGTGTACCCTGATCCCCCCAAAGATATTCATAACACATTAAGTGGCCATCGTGTTCAACCCTCGTCCTGTTTTCCCACCCATCTCCCCCTCTCCCTCTTCTCCTCCTCTTCCTCACATCATCTCCACACCCAATCGACACACCCATGTTTTGCCACCCCCTCCCCACCCCTCCTCCTCACACCCTGTACATACACTCTCTTAAGTGCTCACGGCTCGCCTCGTATGCTGATGCCACTGATTCACTTTTAAAGCCAAAGGACATATTGTTGACAGGTATCGAGTGAGGTGTGAGGTGAGTCCTATTGATAGACCTGACTGAGAATAGTGTTTATGCCTCCTTGCTGCCCCTCATAAAGTGCATTACTGTGAAGGTGAACAACAAGATGATAAAAGCTTATTTTTCGGGGATATTGGTATTTTTCTCCACCACCGAGACTCTCAATGTTTTCACCAACCAATTTATTATCAAATAGGATCAAAGGTGACGAGGTCGAGGTCTCCTGCCACCAGTCCTCATTACCTGTCCTACTGCGTGTGTGTGTGTGTGTGAGTGCTCTTTAAAAGCCTACAAACATTCACATTACCTCATGTGTAAATAAAATTAGACTGCAAGATAACTCGGTGTACAGACGTAAAAGAACCCAGATTTCACTGTAGAATTTCACTTAGGATTTTTATTTAATAACACAAATGTAGCCGCCAAGTTTCATTACCGCGTACTATACCTGAGGGGAGGGGAGGGGAGGGGGGGCTGCTGTAGGGAGGGGGGTCTGCTGTAGGAGGGAGGGGGCGCTGCGGTGGAGAGGCCTCGGTATTGAAGAACTGCATCCCTGTTGTCATACTCCGACTTTCAAAGACTCTCGCCAGACGTGCCAATACCTGCAGATGTTTATGCGTGTGAAATTGAATTATTGATGAATCACTTGTGAAGCGCAACCAGACCTCGAGGGAGAGTTGGGACGCAAGGAACACCTACCCCTCCTCCTCCTCTTCCTTTATCGCTATTACACCTCAACATCACACATTATCGGAGAATTGTCAATTTTCTTGCATTTCTGTAGTCCTCTTTCCTCTGTCACACTCTATACATTCTTTATCATTCTCTTTCTCATCTCCAGTTCTGTGTTTCTCTACGGTGTTTTCATCCTTAGTACTTTTAAGATTGTTTATAATTGCTCTATCTCTCTCTCTCTCTTTCTTCTTCTTAGTTAAGGTTTTCTTCTTTTTCATCTCAATACTTTTCACTCCTTGACGTTACAAAAAAAATTTTACTGTCTGTCTGTCTTTCTGTCTGTATGTCTGTCTGTCTCGTCTTTTATATTCAACAGTGCTATTAATTTTTCCTTTCTCACTTTTTAGTCTTTCCTTTAGACCCGAATGAGATGTGTCCTTTTATTTATTTCTCAGTAAAATTCTATAATAGTTTTTCCCCCTCATTCATATGTCCTTCTTTCTACCCTTACAATATTTACTTTATGATAACTGTCTCATTTCTTCCTTATTTCTTACTTATTTCTTCCTCATTTCTTGATCTCTTCTCTGGTGATTTTCTTCTTTTCTTTCACCTCCGTTGTAAGAAGTCACGTCATGGTTGTCGGTCATTCACACTCCCTTCCAGCCTCCCATAGCCAATACGTCTGGTACAAGTTATTCGTAAGCTGTACCAACATAGTCAGTAACATCAATCAGTCAGTAACCATCCGGGAGTGAGTCACATTTCACCAAAGAAAGAAAGAAAGAAAGAAAGAAAGAACATATTAAAAAACAATACAATATGTTTACCGAGCAAGGAAGGATACAAAAATCTATTCAGGTGAACTCTGAATGTTTTATGAGCGGAGTCAGTGGGTGTGTCAGTATACACGCGTCTACCTCAGGGACACACCTCAGGACGCAGGTAATCGCAGTTTGTTGTCGTTTCAACACCAGGGGACAAGTGAGGGTGGCGGTTCGCAGTATTAGGACGGTTAGCATTCTTCCCGGTGTTGTTGTGACTTGTATCAACATCGTTTATACCAGGATATTGGCCCTGGTGAAGGTGCTGCAGGCGCCCAGTCCTCACGATCAGCAGCTCCACTCTAGTACGTCTTTATGGCTGACGAGAGGATGGTGCTGCCATTACTGTTGCAGGTTCCAGGACAGAATCTAACCTAACCTAACCTTAGGTAACTTATGACAATCTGACATATTTTCATGACATTCTCTGACCTCTTAAGTATTCTTGATGTGTCGTATTGCCTTTAACTTCTACCTTATTTAATTAGTGTCTCCCAGTGTTGACTAACGTTCTCCTTGTGTCTCTTGGCTCGTCATTGTTAACTGACTTTGTTTTTTTCCGTCGACAGGGAAGTACGGCGGAGGCGGCAGGGAGGAGGAGCGAGAGCAGGTAGGAGGGGCGGCGGGTGCTGGCTCAGAGTTACTGCCTGAGGCTCTCGCTCTCCGTAACCCATCATCCATGCACAAGAGACTCTTCCCTCGCTGGTACCAGGCCTACGTCTACAAGGTAAATCCCCTTTCCCTCTTCCCCCATGCCCCCCTCCCCCCCTCTTCCCCCTCGTGCCTACCGCCCCTCCTCCCCCTTGCCCCCTTCCTTCCTCCCCCTTATCCCCCCCCTTCGCTATGTGTAGACGGTTACCTTATCTTTTAAGGGAAAGAGAGAGGAAAAACAAAAAGCTTAAACTTTTTTATTTTTTAGTAACACACATTATGAAGTAAAAACCAGAAAGTCATATAAAGGAAAAAACATATTCAAGAATTACATATACAGGGCTAGTAATAACCACTCAAGCTATCCAACCAGGAGCGAACTCGTAACAATGAATGGTTTTAAATTAGACAAATTTAGATTTAGGCGCGAAATAGGTAAACATTGGTTTGGAAATAGAGTAGTGGATGAGTGGAACAAGTTACCATACATCATCATTAACTCGAATACGCTGGATAGCTTCAAACATAGGTTGGATGGATATATGAGCAATAGGGGTTGAGTGTAAATGGGACTGCCTAGTATGGGCCAATAGGCCCGCTGCAGTTTCCTTCATTCTTATGTTCTTATGTTCACACACACGCACACACACACAACTCCTGATTTATGTACTGTACAGCCCTGTAAATGTATTCAATGCATATTATATCATTATGTCTAAATCAAATGTAAGTCTGTATATTTTCAGCCACCGGCTGCAACTCTATTAATAAACCGTTTATTATTATTATTACACACACACACACACACACACACACACACACACACACACACACACACACACACACACACACACACACACACACACACACACACACACACACACACATACACACACACACAAGAAAATCATGAATTCGATATAATTCGATATAAAAAATCAGTGCAGGACTAAGAAGTACTTAACTGTCTAAAGTTTTTGGCCCAAGTGAAATCTACAACAATGTGATTACTTTAAAATGATAAACATAAGTAAACTCAACAAAACAGTGACTCAGTTAAGTTACCTCGTGACAAGTGGAAACTCTCTCAAATCCTCCACTAAAATTTTCAGTTACCATAAATTTGGTTTACAAATGAGTTCGTTTCGTTCTGTTGATTGCACGTCTCAGGCTAATAGCAATTAAGCCATCAGTCAGTGAGTGGGTAAGTGTTCCCTCAACCCCAGGGCGCGGTGGTGATATTTGTACCTGTGATATTTACCTCGTGTTACCGGGCTTCTACCGTCCTTAGCTGTAAACTGTGATGCATTATAGGTTTACCAAATACAAGAGTGAACTAAGACCTTCCCTGGATTCTAAAATTATCGTGCATTCAATATTTTCCTCTAACTGATTATGGTTGAAACATAGTGTAATATCGAAGACATTTTCCCCCTATATATTTTTGTTGTCGATTAAGTGGAACAGTCTAATGCCATCTCACATCTCCCAATCATTGTAAAGAGAGACGCGGCCTTACACCTCCTCTCCACGTCTGCCGGGATAACGTAAAAATATTATTAATTTCAGTTTACATAATCCCAGGCCATAAGAGAGAGAGCATGTTTACTTTCCCGCGACAGGTGATGAAACAATGTCTCCTTTACACCTGTACAATATCTAGTCTTCCAACTAAACGATTATGACTCAGTAACTCTTTTCACGGTAAAGCACAGTGTCTGTTTGTTTGTATAAGAGAACCGTACACTACCTACTATCCCCTGTTACCAAGTCATCAGTAACTCTCTAATACTAAAAGAACCTCACAGTGCGTACACCTCTTATTTCCTACGTTAAATGAGCCTTTTGTTGATGTTTCAGAACCCAAGTTTCAACCGTGTAGTCGCTGCACCAGTGGGTGAACGTAAGAGGTTCCAGCCATTCCATCCCTTGGCCCGGTTCAGGGGTCTGGCTCTTACTGGCTCCTCTCAGTACTCCCCAGGCTACCGGGCCGTCCCTGACATCCCACTCGCTGACGATCCCGGCCATCGCCTCCCCACAGGTCAGTATTAACAGAGTTAGGTTAAGTCATTGGTCAACCCACCACACCCTGCAGTCAGGAGATACTGTACAGTACATGATACTGCTTACGTTACTCTGAGTGACTATCTCCTCTAACTCCTTCACTACGGAGACGTCAATGTTAATATTTTATTTGGTTAACGTCAGGCGATCTTATTCATCTCTGAGGTGACACCGTACTCAAGGAGTTAATAGAATATATTCATTAATAGAGTACATAGTACACGTGTTTACCACTAGTTTACCTTGATGGTATGATATTCTCTCTAGTAATCTATTCAATCTTAGTGATACATGTTGAGGTAAGGTAAATTAAGACTAGTAATCACTTAAAATACTTCTTTCCTCAAGCCTTTTAACTCTCAAATCATTTTAATCTGTTGTGAAATATTTGTGTAAGAAAATAGTTTGACGTCAAAGAGAACCATCGGCTCCTTGGTGAAAATAATAACAGGATCTTATGTGACACCTACAGCACCCAACGCCCCTCCCTCACCCAAGTACGAGAACCCAGTAGAGGAGGACGAGGCGACGGAAGAGGATGTGGGAAATCAGGTAAAGGCTGGAGAGTTGCTTCAGTTCCTCAAGAATATCGCCAGTGACAGGGGCCTCTCTAGCCATACCAAGGGCTTCAGGTTCGGCATCAGCAGGAGGAAGTAGACGGCCAGAGATCCTCCTCCCCCCAGTCATCACTACGCTCGTGCGATGGACCATGACGAATCCCGCACCACAACTTCTCCATACATACACACATACACACATACATCTCTATCTTACCACACCTCCCAAACTAAATGTGTTCATGTATTCTGATAGTAAGTTGTTCATGTAACTTGCAACTACTAGATGTGTTCATATAATCTCGTAGACAGTAGCTGGCATACTGAGCAGCAACTGGATGAGTTTAGGTAATCTGGTAGAAGTTGTTAACATAATTTGCATCTAATGGAAGTGCTCATGTAAGCTGGTCAACGTTCTTCACATATTCTGAATCTACTAGATGTATTCATGTAATCTAGCAGAAGTTAGTGGATGTGTCCTGATAACCTGGTGATAAATCATCCACATGACCATCTTCTACAAGACTTAATAGTTAAAGAAAATGTGGGTTTACAGCACAGCTTTATCGAACAAAAACTTGACGTTCATTATTATGTTGTGACATTTTTTGGGGTAAAGGGACTCCTAGTTGAGGGAGTATAGAGTGGGTGGGTTAGCGTAGATATAAACGTCAATGTGTAGCTATAATATGGTGACTGTGTACTATAATGTAAACGATTCACATAATAATAAAATAAATTTACATCGAATGTATGTATTATTTCTTAACCCCTCAAAAGTAATCAATGACTTCCCAGGTGTCACTACCGACTACAGTATTAATTGATATATGACAGGATTGATGGATGGGGTTGACGTGGGTGAAGGGCTGAGTTGATGGACTGAGTTAGCCTTAACTCAGTTTTGGTCTGAGAAAAAAAAGTTGGTAGATAAAATTGACAAGGTTGATGGATAAATTGATAGAGTTGAAGGACAGAGAAAGAATGTAGATGGAAATTAACTCATGAATCAGGCGGCCAGTCAAGCCATGACTACTAATGACCTCACAACAACAACAAGAATCAGAAGGCTGTCTGAAACTTTCATCCAAGACTAATTATATTCAACAAGGAGGAAATACATACGCAAACTCATTAGTACTAATATTTAGTGAATAGTAAACACCATGATATAACACACTTCAGTCAGGATATCTCATGAACTAGCCAAACCGCATCGATACATAATGTGACATTTGACCTACATCGGTGACCCTGACCTCCCATGACTCGGTGTATTTAGTGCTCTTTTTTCGAGAAATGTCATAATTTTGGAGCTATTTTTGCTACCCGTCAGTCGAGCGGACGATTGGTCATCTTTTATTCGCCAACATCGAATTTACCAGACATTGGCAGGCGGGCGGTGTTAATTTATACCTGTGAGAGCTTCACCATTATGACCACCACCACCACCATTACCACCAACATGATCACTACCACCACCAGCACAACCACCAACAGCACCATTATGACCACCACCACCACCATTACCACCAACATTATCACTGCCACCACCAGTACAACCACCAACAGCACCAGTATGACCACCAACATTATCTCCATCACACTCACAAGCACTGTCTCACATCAATGCCTTACAATTCCAACCACTGATCATTTACGCACCACAATCATTACCATCACAGTTCCACTATCAAAATAAATGTCTACCACACTCAAATCAACATGTATCATACCCCACATTCAATATCCACCACACATAATATTAAAAGACTCAGAATGAATCAATGTCTCTCCTTCTCAAAGAAAACGTAAATTCTGAGCTGGTAACACAACCAACCTGAGAGTATTTAAATCTGTTGTCACGAGTTAATGTGCAAATAATAACACAGCTTTATTGAAGGATGGAATATCGTCTCTCCCATATAAAAACCAAAGAATGATGGTGTCTGGATACTAAACAGGGAACTGGTCGACCGGTTAGTGAGAGAAGAGGATGAAGTTGGAAGGATCTACTGTTAAAGGGAAGTGTTGATAACAGGCCCACACTTCCCGAGTTGTCTGAGGGAGGAACATATCACACAGGTACTGGTATGTTTTGATGACGTGATTCTCGAATAGTTTTTCTTCCCATAAATAATGGATGTGTATCTTCCACTTCCATCATTATATTTTTACCTTCATGTACTGATGACATGCAAATACTTCTATTGAACATTCCACTTGTCAGCCAACATGTACTCAGGCTGTTTCCTTAAGGCAGCTGCACACTGGGCACTTTACCCCAAACATGTTGCCCATTTTGCTGGCCGTTGGCCTGACGGCCTAGCAAGCAACAGGATTTCTGCTGTTGCGAGAAATGGACAACTGTTTGCTGGGATCTTTGCTGGCCGAATTAGTGCTCAAATGAGGAGAGTGCCCAGTGTGTTGCCGCCTTTAAGGTATGAAGCAATAACCTAACCAAACCTACCTAACTTAAACTGTTAGTAGTTGAAGTCAGTATATAAAGTTAAAAATACTCAAAAATTATGAGGATATGCAATTTGTGTACAGCTACTGTTCCAACAAATTCTGTGATAACATTCAAATGTAAATCCCTTTAACTCCAGGTATGACCAACATTGGCAAATGTTCTTGTACATTCAAGAGCCTGTGCAGGCCCACTGCAGGTCAACAATGAACTGACTAACCTCCCACCTTGTTATGAAACTCATAAATGGCAGAGTTAATGAAAAAATGGTTAATCAAATGGTGTGTAACATTTGTTGATGTATTTTTGACTTCTTCCTAATAATATACCTGTATAAGAGAAAGTTCAATGGTAAAATTACTTTTTTAAGGGACTCATGCCATAGCTATATAATAATCTATGAATTAAACTGCATACTTGATGATCTTCTTTTTCTCATATTTGGTACAAAGTAATGATATACTGTATGGCACTGTACAGTACAGTATCATATACAGTACCTTAAGAAATATATTTCTTACAGAGTTGGTTTCATCCTGCCAATTTGCAGACATGACATTTTATATGAAACCTCCAGAAGGTAACATCCAACTTAATAAATTATATCAAGATGCAGAAACAAGACTCTTCTTCTTGTGTCAGGTACGTTGGTATGTTTAGTAGGTTAGTAGTTCTCAGGAAGATTTCTGAAATGTCTTACAGATTTATCCCTTTTGGTCCTGAAACTGTGAAAGACTTGATTGTACAGTACTTATACATGAGTCTCTGTTCATTGGTTCCGTTTTATATTGTAATGAGCTCTCAAGATTATACCCTCATATATCTGACCTGCCTCCAGTTAAAATTTCTGTTTGTTTTAGTGAGTAGTCATTTTTAGAATTGCTTTGGGGATTATCGCAGAGTTGTGATTTTCTCTCAGATTCTCTGGGGCTTTGTTCTTAAATTTCTTATAATACAGTATTGGTTACATTTAGCTTTCAGTTTTTTATCACCTTTTTCTCAGGAGAGTTATGTAAGGTGGATACACTGTCTTATGTCTGGTACAGTTGTGGAAATATGCTCCTACACCTCCTGTGGTAACCTGTGTCTCCAAACAGTTATGTCACAGTAGAAATATCGCTATTTAGGAATGAATGGGTATTGGTTATGTGACAGAAGTGATTGGTGGATAGGTATGCTATAGGTCATATAATTCGGCCGTTTGGAGACACGGGTTACAACAGGGGGTGTAGGAACGCATTTCCGCAACTGTATAAATAATATCAAGTTTGTATATTCCCTCTGGTCTTCAGGGTGTTAATTTTCTAAACTTTGTAGGATATTACATTAGTGTTTTTTTAATTTCTTAGCAAATATTTCTAGAATAGCTGTCATATTTTATCTTCCAGATTCATCAATGCTGGGGTGATATTGATCAAGTACGAAGTATCATTGTTGATCACTCATCCATTCGTTCTAATTCAGATTGTCTTATAGAAGGCTCACGTAAGGATCGCATTTCACACTTTGTGCTAAGGTTTGTGTTGAGTTTTTGTTATTTTCATAGTTTAAATTTATTTGGATGCTCTTTGTAAAGTTTGTTTTTATCAATGACTATTGGGGGAAGGCTTAGTGAAGACAGTGTTGGATACAGGGGGTCCCCGAGTTACGAATGGGCTAAGTTCTTGGGGACGTTCTTAAGTCGGATTTGTATGTAAGTCGGAACACATGCTATGTGCATACCATACTAACAGAACAGTGTTTAAAATCCCACTATATCATAGTCTAAGTCCTTATATACATCTAAAATCACTTAATTTAAGACAAAAGAAGAAATAGAATGACAAAATACAGTAAATGAAAATAAAAAATAAGTCATCAAGCAAATAAAATACTGTAAATTTCAAGTTGAACCCCGTTCGTATCAGTGTTTGTCTTAAGTTGAGCGTTCATAAGTCAGGGACCTCCTGTATATCACTGCACACTTTGGTGGACTTTTACCCCACAGGTATGTCACTATAATAACTTATTACTGTACTTTTGGTTTTCTTTCTCAGATTGACATGTTTAGAAAGTGGACAACTTCAAACCTTTTTTATTGAAGCAGAAACACAACTATTTGAATACAGGATGGAATGTGGAGGTGAACAAACAGTAACACACTCTGTGAGAGAACTGAAAAGGCATTCACATTTTGCTCTGAGGTCTATGGCTTTAACATCTTCCCATCAGAAATTCATAATTCAAGTACAGAAAATATCAGATGAAATTCTATCATCTGGCATGTTGGAATGTTATGGAAGACAGAACTGTCAACATGCCATTAAAGGTAGCTACAGTACCGTATTTATATTTTGATATTTGATTATACATTACAATATTTTAATTCACTTGCCTTTACTTTTCATAAATATCTACACTGTCATGGGAGTTGTAAGCCATTCCCCAAATTGTTAATGTACAAGGGGCTCCTGTTATTTGTCTCCCCTTTATTTGTTAATTCTCATATTCATCACTAATCAACTGGGGAACGCTACTGTTATTCATCATTTATATCCCACATATTCATCATTTGGACTACATGCCATGGTTGAGTAATAAGTTAACACATAAATACAGGTAAAATTTAAGTACAGTTACCAGGCATTTTTGAATGAATACAAATATTTTTTAAAAGATTTCATTTCCTTGGGTATGGGGACTATTAGTAAAAAAATAACAAAGGTAAACATATGATGTGCACTTTATATTCCGTTGCTCTTATGATTAAATGCAAAATGCTGAATACACATTGACATTACCATTCTATTGTGATTTTATAATATCTCTTGCAGTACCGTGGACAGTGGTGGAGTCTCTGGTAAAGGAGCGTCAAGTAGTTGTGACTGCAGGTGACGTTGAGATACATTGCCATAATTTACTGCAGCTGTTGTGTTGTGTGTTTAAAGCTACATTAGAATTTGGCCTGAAGGAATTATCTCTCTCTGGCGCCAAAAACTTGATTGCTATTGATGCGAGATTACGGCAGGTTAAGAAGAACCTCTATAGATTGTATAGAAAACATCAAGGTGGTGATTATATGGTTCTCTCTTCAAACAGTCTCCGTTCTACAGATATTGAGAGCCAAGTCCCGAATTTCCCCCTATGCATGCAAGAGCTCCACAAGATCCTCTCTAGCACAGGTCGTCTCCGTCACCATGCAAGGATACGCTACACTCTTTATCTTAAGGATATTGGGTTACCTGTAATGGAGAACATAGCCTTTTGGGAGAATTTTTACAGTAAACCCCATAAAGGTCATTCTGGTGGCTGCTGTCATACCTGGGACGGAACTGATAAGAATCGTTACACCTATGGTATCAGGCACCTGTATGGTATAGAAGGTGGCAGGAAAAATTATACGTCACATTCCTGTTCTGCTCTTCAGGTTTGTTGAGTATTCGTGTGAAATGTGTTTTAACCATAGTTTGGAGAATATACTGTAGTACAAAAATAGTAACTGAGTATCATGGTAACTTATTTTCATGAACCCTTCTGCATATCTGAATTTGAGAAGATATTTTTATATGAAAGCTCTTTTAATAAGTTGTATTGAATTCTTAAAAGATTATTTTAACCTACATGACTTAACCTGTTTTAGTGTGATTAACTTGAATTATGTCAGTGGTGATGAGGGTACAGTCAGGTCAGTATTTATTCAAAAAATTATAATGTTTATCAATGTTGTATATCAAACTTTAATTTTTTTAGTATCAAACGTGTAAAAGTACTGCACTATATTTTTAACTTTTGACCCAGTTCAATAACCTTCCTTTATTTTGTAGAGAATTAACATGAAGATAAAATCATTTGACATTAGCCAAATAAAATACAGTATTAAAAGTGTCATCCCCATAGCTAAGGGGTTAAGTAGTCTTAAATTTTTCTTCTCAAGTTACTAATTCAGGCTAGGGGAAATCCTAAGGACTAACAAACTAAGCAATCCAGTCTGGAGAAGCTAGGAAAATGTGAGAATATAAGCACCCTGTATATTGGTAGCATTAAAATTTTAGGAAAAGTTTTATAATGCGAATCTGTCAGTATTGTCAATTTAATATGATTTTACATCTCTTTTAGGATCTTCAGTCTCAACCATCAGAATTGGGTGGTTGTCCTTTCACCAGTTATGGGGAGGATGAACTCTCTGTTCTACTCTACCCCATTCTTGGAGACCACTTACAACTTCAGGAAGATGTTATTAAAGAAGTGAAAGCAGGAAGACCAAATGCCGCTTGTAAAACCTTATCTGCATTCACAATATACATGAATAAAGAATGTAGAAGGAAAAACCATGAGGAGAAGAAGTCTTTGAGAGGTTGTGATCAAGATAATATCAAGAACCTAGAAGAGGACAAGAACACTGAAGGATGTATTCCCAACTTATTAGATGTTAAGAAGAGGGATAATTCAAGTAAACTTACTCTTTTACCCAAATTATGTGAAGAACAGTCCAGAGTTTCAGATCTCATGGGTAAGAAGCACATCCAGACCAACCAGGTTTTAAAATCTCCCAATAACAGCAGTCAAAAAATATATGATGCCAAATTACAAGCTAACAAAGGCCACTGTCATGCTAAAAATTTTGGATATGGTGTTACAAACACAAAAACTATTAACTACAGTAATTCTGCCTCTGCTCAAATCCCATGTTTTAAAAATGTAGATTCTGCATGTTCTCAGGGAATTAATCTAACCACAAAAAGCTGTAATGGTATAAGAAATAAAATGCATGAAGCTGTGTGTGATATAGAAGATTTAAACAGCTTACTGAAATATAATTTTTCACATCCGTCACATTATTATTTGAGAACAAAGAGTGAGAGTAATGTTTGAACCTATTTATTTTTATACTACAGTCAAAGTTCAAAGTTAAGTACTCTTCCCTCAAGTTACAGATGCTCAAGTTAGGGAAATCAAGTTACATTGTTCAAATTAAGGAAATTTATATGAACAGAATTCAAAAAGTATGGAACAAGTTTTAAGATAAAGAAGAAAAAATTGTTTTGTCTGTTTTTAATGATGAATTGTCTGTAATTAAAAGTTTGTAATATTTTTATATTATTTCACAAAACTAAGTACAAATTGAGTATATATATATACTGTATCTGGGAGATATGTTACCAAGATATTGCCACATGGATAATTTTTAGGAGAGTTGTGGTCCTGTGCTGTCTAATAAACCACAGCAGTGTGGTTATGTTATTTTCTGATAACTTTTTACATAATTTGTTTTAATTGCATCTGTATATTTTAAGGCAGTTTTGAGAGGCAAAATTTTACAGTACAGAGGGTCCCCGGGTTACGAATGGGTTCCATTCCTGAGGATGTTCTTAAGTCCAATTTGTACCTAAGTTGGAACACATGCTACTGTATATGCATTCCGTACTTACAGAACAATGTTTAAAATCCTACTATATCATAGCCAAAGTCCTTATATACCGTCTAAAATCACTTAATTTAGGACAAAAGCAGAAATAGAATGACAAAATACAGTAAATGAAAGTAAAAAAAGAACAAGTCATCAGGTAAATATAATACTGTACTGTAAATTTCAAGTTTTAACGCCGTTCGTACCGGCTGTTATTTGTAAACTGGATGTTTGTAAGTCGGGGACCCCCTGTACTCAAATTCAGCTTGATATGTATTTTGTGAGGAAAATTTTCTCGTGTATTTTATATAAACTTTTACCTTAATTATTTTTTTATGGCAGAATATGGGTAAATACTTTTATCTTGACTTTGAATGTTAATGTAGATACTTTATTGTATTTATTTAAGAATTTGTTGTTGATATTACTATATTGAATGACATTATGCCCACAGTCTTCATTTAAAATCATACATTGGCAAAATGTGCAATAGTTTAAAATAAATTAATTGACCAACCATATATTTTACAGAATTATCCAAGTTACTCTGGCATAGACTAATATTTGTGGATCAGGTTTGTGTGTGGGATGTAGCTGCATGTAACACCTGAACTGTTGTACTGTACTTTATTTATTCTTATGAAGGTCTTTGTACAAGTCAAACCCCCATAACATATTTATATCTTGGTATTTATTTTTACTTTGTTTTCACTGTTGTTTCGATTTTAGTATAGACGTTATATGTCAAGATACTCTGTGTAGGTTTGTGTTATTTATACCCAAAGTCATATCCCTCCCATCACATAATTTTCCCTTTATACTTGATCATTTCATTCCAAGTACGTATAGGTAATATATCTCAGAGCAACATTATATTATGTCTATCATGTGTCTACTCACCTGGGCGCTTGTAAGAGTAGTTTCTCCAGACCAGTGATGGGTCCCTCATGAGAGACAACAACACGATGAAGAGGAACCCAAAGGTCTAACAACTTCTTATTCTAGTATTATGATATATATTATCTTACCTTTATATTCCTTAAGAAATGACAATGATAACAAAATATGATTACATTTATCTTGACCGCTCAATGTGACAATATGAAGTAGATTGAAAGTAATCAATCATGCTTCCTACGTTTAAGTGACACAACTCATCAACAACTGGAGGAAGTTTCCCAGATGACCGTGAAGTAAGCAACAGCACGCTGACTCACCACATCTTCATCGTGATCATCTTGCCTCGAATCAGACATGAACCAGCCAGTCTACATTTCCACCAGGTAGCCATGAGCATGACACAAGGGAGTAGAGCAAACATTGACGTCACCTTTAGCACCGTCAACTGTGTGTCTGTAAAGGTTTATTGTATCTTAGGTGATGTTGAATAGAAGGTTTTATTATATATAAGATTATTGTTTATCCATTGATGTGAAGAGAGGAACCATGATGTAACAAACTATATACAGTACTGTAGGGCAAGTACTTAACAGCTGATAGGTTACTTGAGGTTAAATCTGGTTCTTGTGGAAACTAATAAAATTTACAAGAATATTCATGGTAATATATTATTCTCCTTCACTTCCAATACTCATACAGTTAATAGGCAACAACACTTGTATATTATTGATACATTTATTACTCCTGCTGTTGGTGAAACAAGATGGGGTGAGGTTGTAGACAGCTACGAGGATGGTGGGTATTGCAAACGAGACTACAGTGACAACTAGAAACATGACAATACCTGTAGCAATAATTAAATGTTGGTGGTAGGAAAAATACTAGATCTGTGTTCCCTATTCCTTTGTGAGGATGGGTGTGAAGTTATTGATGGGTGAGTAGGTGAAGATGGGTGACAGCTGCTGAAGGTGATGTGTCAACTTTTACGTTTTACTTTTTATCCTCTTCACCTCTGATCGACTCGTTTCCAGTTAATATAACCAACTTGAAACATACATTAAAATTTCCATATAGAAAACGATAACACGTAAGAAAATGAGAATCTGAACGGGGTAGCTTGAGTATACTTGGATTGACTGTACACAAGAAAGAAAAATTTGTTTCTCCAGACAGATATTTCACTGAAACATATGACCTGGGCCAGTAGTGTGACTGTCTCCATGTGTCATATCATCTGTAGGCATTGTGTAACATAAAGCTTTATAAATTCATGTTGTTCCAATGGGTGTTTTACTTAGAAATTATTATCAGAGTCTTTTTGGTAATATTGGCGGGTTGATGCCTAGCCTCAGTGCACGTGCTGGGTATTGCCAGTAAGCTCCGAACTAATTTTTTTTATCATATTCGCCACTTATCAGCTGAATGTCGACTGATTGTGTTAACATAAATCTTCATATAAAATTATTAATGCAATATATCTATCTAAGGTAACTTTTTATAGTGCTTAAACTGTGTATTGGCTTAAATCTGCAAATTAGATACTTGGCAACCATTTGGTGTGCGTGAAGACGTGGGTGATGCCAAGAGTCGCTTGTGAGAAGAAACGCTTTCCTTTATGTTGATTATTTAAACAATATTGAACATTTTTATCAATAAAAGTAGTGTTTTTCAATTATGCTATTGGTATTTAAATAGTTAATTATTTGTTATCTTTTGTAGGATAGCGATATTATATTAGTATATTGTTGAGCTGTACCATGTTTACAAGGATCTGGCATTGACAACACCGGTGCACGTGACGTAGTTGGTCAGTTGGTCCCCAGCACGTGTAGGGTGCACACGTGTTGGATCTCGGCACCACCAGTGTTTTAATGAGTGCACAGTGTCTACAGTACCACGAGATCTGTAAAATTGTGAACAAGTAATGTAATTGGTTTGCTACAGTTTCTATCGTTATTTACAATTGTTAGATGAGGTCTATTTCAACCTCATCTACGCCAACGTGTAATATTTAAAACTGATTATTCCGTTGTTAACAATTGGGGTGACATGTTATATAGTACCGAAATGTTAAAGGATGGTACACGCTGACTCAGTTTAAATTTCTCGCCATGTTAGATGAAACTGCCTTAACCTTATTGAAAGTGCTCGTCCTCAGTTTATTTAATTAGTATCGTCGTCAAAAGATATATTCGCAAAAATACGATCGCTGTTCACGTTACTTGTTGATGTTATAGTGTATTTTTGCTTTGTAACAACTAAGGTTTTTAAATACGTATTCCAGATTAGTAAAACACATTAGTTATACAGCTCTCTGGTTTTCGTTAATTGGTATTTAGGACATTACTTAAGGAAGAATATTCGAAATGTAAACATGATCATTATAGAATTCTAACTTCGGTACGGATGCCGGTAATAAAGTCAATGATACAAAACCCACCCTGAAATGTGTGTCCCCCAGTAAGGAAGCCACCCATTGACTCATAGCGTAAGCTCTTGTACCCCGATTTGGTTAGGTATAGGCTAGAATGCACTTAGTGGCTTTCTTTTGACCCAGGGTAAGCTAGAACAATTAGTGGTGGCTTTATCAGCACTCTGGGTGGCTTTAATTCCTTATAGTAAAGTCCCTTCAAACTTCTGAAAACTGGAGCCCAGGATTAATGTGATCTCGTGACTATGCTAACTTGCGTTCCCGGGTGAAAGATTCTCCCTCCCTCACAGTACTAACGGGGCTGACATAATGCGTCGTAACACCGCTCTCGTTCACCTTGCACACCTCTCACACACCCTACACATTTCTCACACACCCTACACATTTTTCACACCCTACACATTTCTCACACACCCTACAGATTTCACACACACCCTACACATCTCTCACACACCCTACACCCCTCCCATACACCCTACAGACCTCTCACACCTATTCGCGGTTTATTATTTAAAACACCAACATAATAGAGATCAATATTTTGTGAAAGCTTTAAAAGTTCACCCAATTCAATAAATGAACTTTCAAATATCTTCCTCAATCATAGTTTTTTATGTCAAGTAGCTACCGATAAAGTTCAAAGCCACATTAGTCACACTGGAGTGAAGCTTCCGTACTGCAGTATGTATTTAATTATAATGTGAGGTGGAAGACAGGTAGAAGTTTATGTTTTAGATATATAACCTGTGCCTTGATTGAAGTGTGTCCACCCAAGCCTTCAGAATTTCTCAGTTCGTATTTAGCATGGAACAAGGACATCTTAATGAGGTACTTATCATATTTTTTGGAATATCTGATTAAATTCTAAGACAGATTGATTTTTGCATTTATCAAAACAGTTACTACAATTTTGCGACATTTTGCAGCCGAGAGGACGTAATGTCATTAATTAATTTTTAATTACGCCGGTGTAATTTAATTAAGTATACCCGTGCACAAAGATTGGGGTTTTTATTTCATCAATTATTTCAGTTCTTTATGCGGTGAGAATATATATATTTTTTTACATAATTTGCATCCAGAATTCGTTACTTTATTACTCACAATATTCCGTGCAGAATATTCACCTGATTATCTCTTCCTGTCTTGGTTATCCCTCGCTATTAGTTCTGAGCATCCACGCTTCACGCCTTTACCCTAATTGCAATTATTATATTATTCACATGAGTGTAGCTACACCAGGAAGTACAGTACCTATGAGGTCAACACCCGAAGATTTGTGTGGTAATCGACCTTTTCAAGACAAGACTACACGGTCCGTCCGCCAAGGGAACAGAGTCATGAATGTAGAGGGCAGGTGATCCTTTACCGAGATGCAGACGATAGGGTCATGTTGTAGTGTTCATCCGTCTAACTATTTATAGGAAGTGTCGTTTCTGTCCAGTTTCTTAATAAAGACTACACGGATGAAGGTAAATCAAGGTCTTGGGGTTAGTTATCTGATTAAATGTTCTAGTCGTTTGGCTATTGTTTTGGTCGGTAATGACACACACACGCACGCACACACACACACACACACACACACACATATCGTTGAATATTTCTCATGTACAGTATTTGCGATTTTTTTTTCTGAAATAAGATATTGTAAAGTATATTTTCATTAAGTGAGAAATATTTTTTTGTCTACTTATATTTGTTTCTGAATTTCATCATTTGTTTATTCCTTGTTTATTTATACTGTTTGTTTACCTGTAGCGTGTATTATAAATGACAGAAAACCGAACCTGACATAAATCCTTCGTGTTTCAGGATACTTTTATTCAACTCACAATATTGAACTTGGATCAGTGGACAGATAAAACATTAAAACCCTCATGTGAACCAAATTAATGATCTACAGAACACAGTGTACGAGGCCTTGTGATTACTGTTGCCTGCTGCTATTTCTATCATTCCCTTGGGTGTCTTAGTGAGTGTCTGGTGACTTGAACTAATAGACTTGGTGACCAGTGGTGGAGGATTTCTGCAGTCTGTCATGTCATCTTAACTTGGCCTCACCACACCTGGACATCACGTCACTCACAGGTAAGTTGAAATTGAGAAAGTTTATATAGCTAACCACATTTAGGTCGAATAGTTAGCTTGGATAGTAAATTTAACCAGCTACTATTGTTATGATTTAATGGCATAGTTAGTGATTCTTGGGCAGGATAGTTAACTTAACCGACCACTATTGTTATGAATTAATGTTAACACTAGTGGTTTTCATTATTCTGTGGTGACTGTTATTAATGACTGTACATTAAGGGGGGAGGAGAGTGTTCAATGTTCCAGGCATGAGTCCATTTTTTCCGTCTTCAGTCACACGTGTGGGTCTCAGGGGGAGTGACACGGTTTATCATAGTCAAGCTGTAGTTTCTTTGGTTATTATTCACGGTGCCAGATGACTTAAGAAAATTTATGACATTTATTATTATTATTATTATTATTATTATTATTATTATTATTATTATTATTATTATTGTTGTTGTTGTTGTAAGAGTTTAGCATATATAAGACTTGAGGATAATAATAATATTAATTTTATAACAGGTTAGAAATATTAGTCTTTTTTTACATTATTGTTATTGATAGTAAATGATAAGCAGTAATTATTAGACTGTCCACATACGATAGTTATATTAAGTTTATTGACTACACATATTTTATTATACTTCTTGGTTATTGATTGTTGTATTATATTGTACCTTTTACCTGAAATGATGTACAATTTGTGGATTAAGACTGCCCCATTGTACTACCTCTACCATGTGTACAACCCGTTAACATTCGTGGCTGTTACGTGACCTCGTATCATGTAGTAATACCTATTGTAGTCAAGATGTATGTGAGGTCCCTTCTGGTTTCTAGTATTGCAGTATCACGCGAGGATGATTACAATACTGTCTGACCATTAGGATGATTGCCACGGCGCCGATAATATGAGTCGCGGGTCTTTCAATCGAGGTATGATGCCTGGGGGGTGGTGTCATGGCGTTGTCTGTCAGTGTCACGCTTCACGCCCCCATGACTAGTGACAGTCGCCAGTGAGAGTAAAATACTTTCTGAGGGGTGTTTGGTACATGACCATGGCTAGGATGACACTGAATACAGATTTATACATGCAAACTTTTATTACAGCTAAGATGATGATTATATACAGGTACAGACATGCAAGCTATCATATCTAGGATGATGACACTACGCAATTTAGACATAGATACCTGAACATAGCTAGGGGTGATGACACTACACACATTTAGACATAGATATCTGACCATAGCTAGGGTGATGACACTACGCAATTTAAACATAGATATCTGACCATAGCTAGGGTGATGACACTACACACGTTTAGGTATGATAGTTCAAGATACTCAGGTTGATGAGTCATATACATATACATACAGAAATACACGGTAGTCTACCTTAATCTCAACCTCCTTCGTGTATCAAGCGCATTAGTACATTCTCAGTGTTCGGTGCTCGTCGATACTGAAGATTGATGCCCACAAATGATGGTAATATCGGTGTATTGATGAACTGGTCTCAATAGAATCTGAAAACTTGCGATCGGTAGGAATTCGTATTTTGGGGATCTTTATCGTGGTTGTAATTCATGATGATAAGTACCTGTGTAAAATAAAGAAAAAAACAGGTATATATTTCTTCTGTAAAATCGTCATGCACAACTTGATTCAGCATACACAATTACTTATACACAATACAGGTATATAATGTACGTAGACAGAACAGGTGTACAGATGACGTTAATTTTTTATTTAATTTTCATTTTCACACACACACACACACACACACACACACACACACACACACACACACACACACACACACACACACACACACACACACACACACACACAACACACACACACACACACACACACACACACACACACACACACACACACACACACACACACACACACACACACACACACACACACACACACACACACACACTTGGGCTTGGTTCACTGATCTGTCCAGCCTGTTTCTATTCAATACACCTTTACCGTACCTGTCACCCCACCTCCCTCACCTCTTGTCTCCAATGTTCTCTCCCCCCTCGCCCCCCTTTCTCCCTTGTACCCAACCCCTCCCCCAACCCTTGTCTCCATCCGTCTACCCACTCTCCCCCTCACATCCTCCCTTCCCCCCTCACCAGGTAAAAGGAGGGGAGACAAAGGGATAGTCCTCAGGTTCACCTCGTCATTCCCCTCTTTTCATTAATAGAGGATTACCTGTGTGTGCTGTTAACGATCCTATTATGACCTGTGTGTGTGTGTGTGTGTGTGTGTGTGTGTGTGTGTGTTTCATCAAGTAAATAAGGTCAATTATACGCTTCCACCTAACAAGGACTGTAAACTGTATCTGTTCCTCACATACATGTATCATTCTGCACCAAGAATTTCCTGCCTGCGTGTGTGTGTGTGTGAGGGAGAAAAAGTGGAGGAAGAGGAAAGGGAGGGTGTGGGGGAGGGGTGGGGAGGGGAGGAAGGGGGGTAGAACAGGTGGGCGCGAGGTTCAACGAAACGGATCAATATTTGGATCAATATGAGTCTAAGCCGGTGAATTATACCCAGGTATTATTGTACGTTAATCTGTATTGATGATCAGAGAGGAATATACTGAGGAAGGTGTATATGGAGTGTCACTAGTCGTTGTTGTAATCTTACTGACGATGGAGGTGTTTAGTTAATGTATAAATTCTATTTTTATCTGACGATTCGATAACTCTGGGGTGGGTGTTGATGTACGATAATAAAGGAGTTGAAAGAAATATTTATTCATCTTTAGGATTGTTTTCTTTCAAAGATGATTGTTATATTTGTTATATTATTGATATGTTTGAGAGATCAGACAACTATTTAACCACAAGGTAGTTTATGGGTCAAAGGAAGGGATAGATAACACATATTGAGATACGATATTGTCAACATGGCAAATCAGACGACTTCCATATTCTGGGAAATTGATTCTCATTACCCGTATTAATGCACTTACACTTATTTAAATAGAATATATATTAATTTCTTATACGCATGGTTTACTATATAACTGTAAAATACCATCTTAAGGTCATCTGGAAATAGACAAATGTAAAAAAGTATTCCAGTGTGGTAAAGCAATGATACATAAACCATGAGCAACAGGGGCCACGGGCAGAGCTACTCACCCACAAGCTGTGTCTGAAAAGCTTAACCACGAGGGATTGTCGGTGGGTAACAAGAATCATTGAATTATATCATTTTTTTTTATGGCAGGTGGTGTTAGTTTTGTTTTATTTACTCTTTTTAGTCATATTGGAAAAATGAATTTGAGAACAGCTGTGAATTTTGTTAGTGCAAGTATACACACATACAGTGTGCTTGAGATATGTTTTGCCAAGTATTTATTCTAGGTTATGTTTTTTAGAATAGTGAATATATGATGAGATAGAATGTGTGATGATGTAAGCTTCCTTCTACGTCTCCTCCCCCACCCCTGCAATTTCCTCTTAGTCAACAACTGCTATGACTTGAGGAAGTTGAGGCTTACTTCAGTTCACCTAGAAACACGATAGAGGTCTTGAGAGAGAGAGAGAGAGAGAGAGAGGGGAGACTGGGACTTGAACACAGTGTTTTAAGACTATCATCAGCAAAAACATTATTTATTTCAGATCATATCGAGTAATTTCGAGACTGAAAACCGAGTAGGGAGGGGGAGGGAGGAGGACACTGGAGATGATGCCACCTAGCGTTTAAATTGTGCACCATTTCGTATTATATTTACACACTGTAGAGTTACCGATCTGTATATATTATCATGAATGTACAATAACAAATACTAACGTTGATGAGCGTTGACTGGTTTAATTAATTATTAAACGAGAGAGAAAAGATAATTGGAAATAGTAAAGAGTAGCAGACGGGTGTACAGTTGTCAACGAGTGGATAGACGTAGTAGAAACAGGAAGGAGAGGGGTGGGGTGGTAATGCAAGGATGACGGGGGGAGACAGGAAGAAGGCGAGAGAAAGGAAGAGGAGAGTGGCAGGAACAGGGGGGGGGGAGAGAAAGTAGGTCATGGCTAAGGGAAATTAGACGGAAAATAAGGGAAAGAAGTCAATTATAGGAGCAGAGATGAAACGATGAGAAGTAGGTCAAGAAAATAATTATTTTTAAGTAATATATAACGCGAAAAATGCTGTAGATTATTATTATTATTATTAGCAGTAGTAGTAGTAGTGGTAGTAGTATAGTAGTAGTAGTAGAAGCAGTAGTAGTGGTAGTAGTAGTAGTAGTATGCTTGTATAAGATTCATTATATCTTGTATTTATAATTCTTCTTGTATAAAATTAGTTCCTTGTTTGAACTGTATCATTGGGTATATTAAGTTTTCTTGAATTTACCATAAAAACGCTATCCTGTCCAGCCACGTGTGTGTGTGTGTGTGTGTGTGTGTGTGTGTGTGTGTGTGTGTGTGTGTGTGTGTGTGTGTGTGTGCGTGTGTGTGTGCAAGCTTGAGGTGGGGGGGAGGGGGGCGGTCGGCCTAGGTGAGAGAGTTCGTGCTCAACCGGATCGATTCTCAACCGCATGTGGCGAGCGATTGTGTACGTCTCGTCCCTCGCAGGTGGTGGTTGGTGGGGACACATGGCGGAGAGGGAAGGAGGGAAAGGGAAGTCCTACATGAGACGGGGTAGCAAGGGAGGAAGGGGTAGAGTTAGGTTAGGTTCTGTATAAGGGGAATGGGTGGGGGAGAGAGAAAAGGGTAGAGATGAAGTAGAGTTTTTGTTTTCGATGGAGAGAAGGATAGAGGAGAGGAGGATAGGTAGAGGGAGATGAAGGAAGGGGAAGAATACGAAAATGATAAAGAGGGAGGGAGGGAGGGTTTAGGAAAGGACAGAGGGAGAGTCAAAGGGAAGGGAAGTGGACAGGTAAGGTTTCCATTGTATAGGGAAGCAATACACGTCATGGGAAGTAATTCTCTTCAGGGTAGCGGATGGGTGACAGATGGAGTGGAGAGATGTTCAGAAAAGGAGAGA